TCAATGTTCTTGAACGTAGCTGCCACTGTATCTGGGGTGAAGGCATTGACACGCTAATTATCATCAGCATAGGAGTAGTATATGGGCCCTTGGCCTCCTTACAAATAAACTCCTTTTGGAGGTATTGAAGGACTGGATGATGGCAACACGACACGACCTTTATCTCGACATTTCAGGGCTAACGCTTGCTCCTTCATCAGAATGGACCCGTGAAATTCCGGTTAGAATTGATCTTCAGTAACCCATGCTTGTCGTAAGAGGCGACTAACGCGATCGGGTGGCCAGGCTCGCTGACTTGGTTGACACATGTCATCGTATCCCAATTGCGAAGATCGATGCTCATGCTGTTGATCACTGGATTATCTGGTCAAGACTCGATTATTTACAGACCTCCGTCATATAGCTGGACTATTGCTGAGTGCGGCCTAAAACTAAACTCACTCACTCATCAGAATGATGATTCACCTGATGAAGGAGCAAGAATTAGCTCTGAAACGTCGTGAAAAAGAATAATAAATTGTTATCCATAAAACGAAACGGGTTATTATAGCAAAATTGCCACTCAAAACGGATTTGGTGGATACATTTTCCTGTAAATAATCTGCTTGTCATTAGATTAATGTTGGTGACTACGGTGTAGACGTTTATCAAGTTTACCGACGTCCACGCGAGGGGCTGATAGAGTTTGTTAGTTGTTTCACAGGGGCTTGTAACGCAAAACAAAACCTGGCATCAAGGTATAGATTGTCACTGACGGGCTCTTAGCTGTATTTTTGCCTTTTAACGCCATACTCAGCGGTGTCCCACCTATTTGACGGCTGTCTGTAAATAATCGAGCCTGGACCAAACAATGCAGTGATTGACATCGTGAGCATCGATATACCCAATTCAACCAAGTTAGCAAGCTTGACCACTAAATCCCGTGGGGTTGCTGACGACCAGTTCTAACTCCGATCTTAACCGGTCGGTGCTGATAAGCCTAAGGTTACGATCGGAGCAACGCTTCCGATCATATCCTAGTAAAGTTGCGTAATTCTAAACAACGGCGTCCTTGATCAAACGCGTCAGCACTTTATATGAGGCATATAGGATTATACTGTTGAGATCATATACTGGACAAAAATAGTTAGGGTTATATGTAAATTTTGAAATTATGAATAATGATCTATTTATTCATTGACACTCTGATAAAATATCAATCATAAAATACCAATATCCCTAACTTATTTTGTCCAGTAAATATTGGCCTGAACGCATCAAGGTAATATCCAAACACAAGTGACCAGTATAGGTTGTACCGCGCGGATAAGGGATCATAATCGGGCCGATATAGGTATTCGAACTTACAAACCAGTGGATTCTGATATGATTAAGGGACGCAACTCTTTTCAGTGTTGCTTCTCAATACCCAATCCGATTCATGAAAGAGAAATAGCGAGCGAAAGAATGAAAGAGAGAGTATTATGTGAGTGTTTAAGTGTGTGAGTACATGCGTGTATATCTGTAGATAACAGTAGCGTATAATGTGGGGTTTGTTAGAATCGTGTGCTGGCGTAAATACCGACACGTGTGTTGTATTAACAAACTAAATCACGATTATTTTTCATGGCAATGTCAAATTTGGGACGGAGTCAGTCGTGCGCGAAAAACATCCCGTCCTCAAGACCATATCGGCTTCCACGCTCTCTACCAGAGTTATATAATTACCTAACGACGCGACGTGGCCTTGACCTCGCCTTTGAATGAACTACATGCACGCAGATTAAAAGAGTTAAAACAGCGATTAAATGGAAGAAAGAGTTTAACAGCTTCGGTTCAGTTAGCAGCTAGGTTCAAGGGGGTCAAACCCAATTTCTGTTTCTATGGCAACCATACCCAACTTCTTCAAGAATAATCCCCACAATGTATATGTTCGAACTATTGTGATTAACGATATAACGTGGCCCGCGCTCGTATTTGTCACAGATTCGTTCAATCTTTATACAAACACTCAGACAAACAACCCAGATTACATTCAGAATAAATTCAACAATCCTGCCCATGAACACGTTCAAGATTCCCAGTCAGATGTCCAGGCATACCACGAACGGACAGTTTTTAATGTTTGTTCAACTGGTTCCCGATAGTCCAAGAACAGCTGGAACCTCTTGTTAACTGAGATGTCCTCTTTTTAACACGTGGAGTTCATTTGAATCCGAATTTATGCATCACAGACCCAATGTTTAAAGGACCGAGCACGTGTATTCCATGCAAAGTGTGATACCTGTATTCAGTTGTGAAGGAGTAACACCGAAGGTTTGTTACAATACAGAATATAAAGGAATACACTAACTATATAGTATAGTTTATGAAATGTATTACATAATCATTTTATTCAATAAAGTAATATATACAGAGAACACACACACACACACACACACACACACACACACACACACTGATGACATTGATGTCATATATGTCATAGTATATATTTTGGTCTATTCATATATTGTCTTCATTATCACAAGTATCACGCCTTGCGTGGGACACGTGCATTAGGCGGCCCTTGAACAATCACAAGTATCACGCCTTGCATGGAATAAATACACGTGCATTACGCGGTCCTTGAACAATCGCAGATATCACGCCTTACATGGAATAAATACACGTGCATTACACGGTCCTTGAACAATCGCAGGTATCATGCCTTGCATGGAATACACGTGCATTACGCGGTCCTTGAACAATCGCAGATATCACGCCTTGCATGGAAAACCCGTGCATTACGCGGTCCTTGAACAATCACAAGTATCACGCCTTGCATGGAATAAATACACGTGCATTACGCGGTCCTTGAACAATCGCAGATATCACGCCTTGCATGGAAAACCCGTGCATTACGCGGCACTTGGACAATCACAAGTATCACGCCTTACATGGAATAAATACACGTGCATTACGCGGTTCTTGAACAATCGCAGATATCACGCCTTGCATGGAAAACCCGTGCATTACGCGGTCCTTGGACAATGCAGGTATCACGCCTTGTATGGAATAAATACACGTGCATGACGCGGTCCTTGAACAATCGCAGGTATCACGCCTTGCATGGAATACACGTGCATTACGCGGTCCTTGAACAATTGCAGGTATCACGCCTTGCATGGAAAACCCGTGCATTACGCGGTCCTTGAACAATCACAAGTATCACGCCTTATGGAATAAATTGCATTCGCGGTCATGAACAATCGCAAGTATCACGCCTTGCGTGGATTACACGTGCATTACGCAAGCCTTGTTATTTATAGATTTGTCCTCATTCCTGTCAACTGAGGTGGCTCGAACTGATTTTAATGTCGTAAAATACACGTCTAGGTGTAGGACTAATAAAGGAAAATGCTGAAGGAAATATACACGCTAGGCTTCATTTCAGATGTCGTACTCCGTCTACTTGTACAGTCACTCCACTATGTATACACTGGCGGCACGGCTGGGTTTCCAGCATATGTTATCATGCACTTGTGTCTGTGTGCACCATGCAATTGTTCGTGGGTTAAACCAGGGGTAAACGTCTTAACCTACATCACCTCCCGCCTCCAGCTGGCATGCTGGCATATAACAGAACTGATCGGCGTTATTTCGAGTTCGCTCGTTCACCAGCATGACCATGTTTCACACGAAACATTGCTTTCACACGACACGGAAATGATGTGCACTGTAGCTTAATGTCAAGTGATCCGAATCGTTTACAACGTATTTGTTTCATCAAAGAAAATATAATAATTAATACAATTAATATTGTTTTATGGTCTCTGGTTCCAGACTGTCGTGTAATTATATCCAAATCAACTACACGAATTACACAAACATGAGCAGGCAACTACCTCAGAAGATATTTAATACCCTCTTTAAAAGTCGTTTTTACTCGCAGGGCCTCAATCCTCAGAGCGACCAAGGCTGAACCCTGCATTACATCCATGAAAGGCAACATTAATTGCACAGCCAATTTCGTTTCGTGAAAAAAGTTCAGCTTTCAAAATGTTTTCATGAGATTTCAGTATTTTGGCGGTTTCATATTTCAACATTTGACTATTTCTTTCGCCAGCTGATAAAACAATTTCGAACAATCTGCGCCTTGTTACGGCTGAATGATACGAGTTACGGTTGAATGATAAGTGTTACGGCTGGGACCAGACACAAAGGAGTTGAAAACTAACCAATGCCACATGCTCCAGGTTCTTACGTCACTGGGTATAAGTAACAACTGACACATGTCACATTTCATTCAGGACTTCAGTAATGCAGAGACCATATAATAGATCTATCACATGGTCTCTGAGTAAAGGGAAGTGTCGGTATCGCTTTACAAAACATATTAACAGTAAATGCTGTAAGAAAAATCAATTAATTGTTTGGCTCTAGTCATATACTGAGAGAAACAAATAAGGAACACAAAAAATTCAAAAGGCCCTTTAATAGTTTCCAGGTTTCATCACCAGCTTTGAATAGCGCTGTGGGAGAAAATCTGAGAATGAATATAGGAACGCTGCAATGAAGTGGTGTTCCCTAATTTGTTTCCCTCAGTATATCTTTATTTAGAAATAAGGTTTGCTCTAATCCCAGAGTAGAGTAATAAATTGTAGTTTTATCATGAACTGTTATCGCTAAAGCACGAGGAAGCTTATGTTTGATAAAGTCGGTGCCTTTGATCATTTTGCGAAGTATCTATAATAATGCATAGATAATATATTTATAACTTTGACAATATTTACAGAGTTGATGCTAACTTTCCTTATATGTGCGTTATTTGTAGAGTATAACTATTTTCATCGCATATATGATAAAACAGATGTTTGCAGCATATCTATAGTCATAGATAAACAAGCATGCTATCAAGTATAGCTGCACATATTTCCCATGTCGACAGCATGAGTTCCGACGCTGTCCTCATCTGTCAATAACTGGTAAACACATCTAACTACCTCCATTATCTATAAATAACACCTGTCTTATGTTACCTCATAGGAACTTGTGATGCCAATTCTGTAAAAGATGGGGATGTAGATATGAGCTGACAGGAACACTGCAAACAGGTACGACAATCCTATCCAGCCGTACATGGTGCCGTACTTGTACATTTCGGATGGCGTCCCGAGGATGGTGATGGCGGACATGAAGCTGGCCAGCAAGGACAGGGCAACTGGCATAACGTGCATGTTCCCTCCAGCAAGGAGGAAATCTTTCGTTGTGTGCCTGTTCCTGTCCTTAATGGCATAAAACAAACCAATACTCGCTGACACCAACAGTAATCCACCGAACAACACATAGTCAATGGTACCGAAGGTACTTTTCTCGCCAGTTTGATAGCTGTATTTTCTTTCACCATCCATGTTGTATGTGTCCTGTAGACGGTCAACTCCACATGTGGTGCTTCAATGGACACTGTCCGTGATTAAGTGTCAGGGGTCAGAGAGAAGATTTAAACCCTTTGAGCGTCTTATCCCGAACGGTCTAAGAGTTCACTGATATCAAACACTGGGTGGGGATATTTCACATGTCCAATGAGTTTTGATGCGGCAGCGGTCAAACGGTCATCGTGGTCAGTAGGGACTGTTATATAAACTTCTCTGAAAGATACACAAAGAACGATGAGCTAACACGCAATGCACCGTGTATATATGAACTGTCAAGGCTTGATAAATGTAACCGACCATATAGAATCTGTCACCACAATCCTTCAGCTGTACATACATGTATAATCACAGCTTCGCTTTTATCAAGAGTGTTGTGATGAATTAAAATATCTGCTCGCATGTTTATATGTAACAATACTGGATTACATTACAACAACATTTTCAGATCGACACTCACTATGCACAATGAATTTCGACCTAACCAATGAAACAATATGGAGCATTAACGGTTTGGTTTGAGAATGCAATGGTTCCTTTCTTTAAGAGCTAATATAATTGTGACAAGCAATGCTTGTTTAATAGAGAATTGGAACATATGAATACTCACAGCGCCCACTGAAAGTTTGTACAACGCTTCGTTTTATATGTCCAATGTATTCACTAGCACACTGACAATTGTACATGCACGTGGTTTGGTAACTCCAATGAATAATGTCGTGGCTTGTACACATTAACCTGCTGAGAGCTCCCTCTTCGTGACCTCATTTTAGGCTTGTTTTTCTCCCTCTCTAATTATAGACATACGTTCCAGTGACGGTTTCAGCGGAACAAGCCGAGAAGTGTCGGAGCCACTGGGTCCGTGCTATCGAATTCACCCCTTGAATCATGTGGCAGGCTGTTTATATCAAATCACTTTATGTGCTCATTTTCGACAAGTGTATTTTAGTTAGCTCTCATTATGTCCTCTTAACATGGCATGAGCGTACTGGCAGCCATTCACCTGTCATATTCTTGATGTGTGATGTGACACATTCCGACCTTTGTCTCACGCATTCAGACCTTCACGTGACATATTCAGACATAATCTGATACATTCGGACCTTCGCCTGGCACATTCAGATCTTCGCCTGACACATTCAGACCACCCCCTCACTCATTCAGATCATCACGTGACACATCCAGACCTTCACGCGACGCATTCAGACCATCATCCGACAAATTCAGACCTTTGTCCGACGCATTGAGACGTTCGACCTTTACCTGATACATACAGTTTTCCCAGAAATTACTGAGAAAATCTTTGTTTCCTAATACTGATAATAGAATTTTAAAATAGGTATTACATTATGTCAAAACTTTTGATACATTAAGTACTTTCAGTGATGGGAGGCAACTCTTGAAGGTACTACTGTAGCGCTTGGTCTTTGGCAATATGGCGGACTCCAACATTTGACCTTACTATATCAAGAGTTATCTTCCCTGGTGTGGCAGACGACTTCCTTTGTTGACATGGCAGATTTGACAGCAGAAGAGAAAAGAAAGCTTGTTTTGAAAGGGGTGTGACTAATGCAAAAGAGTTAGCTGGTAGACATGACATTCCTCTGTCTATAGTGCGGAATATTCAGCCAGCAGTTGGGATTGAGAACAAGACAGGGGCAGGGAGGCCAAGGAAGTTCAGTACTACGGATCGCCGGTGACTTGGTCAGATTGCGAGTAGGGGAAAATTGAACAGCGTTGAGAATATCAGCAATGAGATGATTAATAGAGGAATTCCCACACCATTGATGAAAGATGCACAAATAGAAAGACGTTTAAACTGGTGTAGGGCTCACGAATATCAAGATTGGGATAATGTTTTCTTTTCTGATGAAAGTTCTGTCTGTCCTTTTCCGAATCGTATGAAAATTTGGACAAAAGACGCCGTGAAACCTATCTTCCAAGGTGATCGGAAAAAAAGTGATCAAAAAAAGTCATAGGAAAAAAAGGTCATCAGAACAATAACTATTAAAAACTATTATAACTGTTCTCCAGTTATTTACTTTGTTTATATTGTATTTTATTAATATTATTTCAGTTCATCGTCAGAAATAAAAACATCCTGTTTATACTGTATTTTATAAATACTATTTCACTTTCATCGTCAGTGAAAACTAGTTCAACAACAAAAAGTTATAAAAACGTCCTGTTCTCCATTTACTTTGTTTATACTATTGCACTTTCAAGTTCATTATTCCTTTCAGTGTGATGCTGTAGGCAACTGGATATTATCAAAACAGGAGAAATGAAAATGTTAGTAGTTATTTAGTTCTTAAATGATTATGGGCTTGATCTAGTGCTATTGCAACGCCCAAAACATATCCCGATATTTCACATGTGGTGTGGGATATCATCACGTGGTGTGACGCCATTGTGTATTTTCACTGGAAATTTGACGAAGGAACGATATGTTGACATGTTAAATGGTCACCTCCTTCCAACGGCCCTTCCAGCACTATGAAGATAATTGGATTTTCCAGCATGATAACGACCCAAAACACACTGCGGGACACACAAATAGTGGTTGTCGGACGAAAGTGTTCAAGTTTTAGACTGGCCCAGCTACAGCCCAGATTCTAACCCTATTGTGAATTTGTGGGGACTAATGAAGGACAGAATAAACCAAAAAGGACTTAAAAATATTGAGGATATGAAGGAAGAAGTGGTCGAATATTGGGATAAGCTGTCACACGATTTCCTACAAACTTTGATCGGTAGTGTACGTATGCGCATTCAGTCGTGTATTGCAGGGCAAGGAGGTCTAACAAAGTACTGAAAAGACACTTAGACTGTAAGAGAATCATAACTCAACATATTTATTTTAGTAAAACTTCTATAGTTTATATACATGTGCATGTATTAGATATTTGCCGAAACAACTTTCTCAATAATTTCTGGGAATATTATATAAACCTTTGTTTGACACAGGGTCTGAACGCTTTCACTGACGGGTCTTGTGTAGAGCGTGAAGAGGGTTGAACCAAGAACAGAGCCCCGTGGAACTCCACATTGAAGCAGGATCGTCGGGGATAAATACCTGTGTCTAACTACTCTTTGTGTCTGATCCATCAAGTAGGACTTCACCCAGTGTTTCAAAGCAGGTCTTTGAATAGCATTTAGAAAGCGGTTTCCCCGATGCCAACAATTAGCCAACAATTAGACAACAAGGCGAATACTAGAACATAGCAATAAACGACTGGGTGAAAGATAAAGTCATCAGAAACATGTACCCCAATTTTTAACGCAAAAGTATTTATATTTATATTTTAATCGCGAAAACAGTTTTTCTGTTATCTCAGCTTCGGCCATTATGCATATTCCGCTTTTATTGTCAGTTGTATCAAGGGCTGCACTGAGATCAAACAGAACCAAGGAGGCTGGCCCTATATGCTGGCTGTAAAACCCCATGGAGATTGTGCTTTCACAGATGTTCTGAAAATAAAAAGTGCCAAACAACTTTCTAAACCAGTTTTGACATGAATCGCAGATTGGACACTGGTCTGAAACTCCTCAGGTTATAACAATCCAATCCTGGCTTCTTCGGCAATGGCTCAACAAAGGCAGACTTTACTTTGGCTTTGGCATGGTCCCAGATGTCAGTCAGATGTCAGTGATGACGTGAATCAAGATGTAGTCAGATATTATATTATAGTGAGAAAACATCAAGGCCGTATCCATATCGACATGGATGATTACGATTGCGGAATGAATCACACTGACATCAAAGCGGACGATAATTAATAGCGCAACAAACCACATAGGACGTTCAAACAACTCGCACTGAGACTCAGTAGCAGTCGAACACAAAACCACGAGTGATATAACATTTTAGTGGACAGAAGCCCAGTGATATAACATGTTAGTGGACGTAAGGTCAGTGATATAACATTTTAGAGAGCATAAGCCCGTTGTTATAACATTCAGTGGACAGAATCCCAGTGATATAACATTTTAGCGAGCATAAGCCCGTTGTTATAACATTCAGTGGACGTAAGTTCAGTGATATAACATTTTAGCGAGCATAAGCCCATTGATATTACCTAGAAATGAGTGAGTGAGTTTAGTTTTACGCCGCACTCCTCAGTATTCCGGCTTTATGGCGGCGTTCTGTAAATAATCGAGTCTGGACCAGACAATCCAGTGATCAACAGCATGAGCATCGATCTGCACATTTGGGAACCGATGACGTGTCAACCAAGTCAGCGAGCCTGACCACCTGATCCCGTTAGTCGCCTCTTACGACAAGCATGGGTTACTGAAGATCAATATTCTAACCCGGACCTTCACGGGTACTATTACCTAGTAGCATAAGTATGTTTGTAGGTAGTAAGAAGTTATATTAAATTGAGGGTGCTTTTAAATGATTTTTAGAAATATTAACGCCCTGTCGCACTTATTAACCTATTTGGTATGGCCATTTTTACAACCCACAGTACACATCAGAGCCAGTGTGGAGTACGTACGCGGTAGACAGTCAAGTGAGGTATGTTTGAGCTTTTACGTATGTGTCAGTCAATAGTGAACTAATACCAACGAATTCACGGTTAACCTCTATGGGGGATTTATTACTAACATATACTCCGCGGGGATTTTAGTTGAACAAATCCATCTTCAGTCGTTCAGGAGTTAATTCAACCATCTGTTATGAAAACACTATCTTTACAACTGGGTGACCTTTATCGCTTCATGATACTAAATTTTCCAGTGTGTTTTTTCATATCAATAACACTATTCATAACACTATAAAGCATAATTTACCACATAAACTTTTGTGCACTCCCTGCATACACCCAAGACGGTGCTATGTCATAGACTAGGTTACCCTTAGCCTGAGATCGACTCAACATCTACCGCCAAAACATTTCAGCGGGATTAGGCCCTTGCTTGACAGGGGCGGATCCAGAGGGGGGTGATTTATGTGGACCCCCCTTCTCCCCCGAAGAAAATGTCCCTGAGGTGCATTTCACTCTAACGTTTGTACTTCATGATTTATACGAACACACACGCATGCATGCATGCACGCACGTACACACAGACACACACACACCACCACCACCTCAACAATCAACGCCATGTTCATAAGATGAACCAGTCCATCCATCCACGAGTCGCATTTCCGATCAGCATTGGTTGCTGTTGACATATTCTATTCTATCTATGTAAAATCCTCAGGGAGTGACCTTGTTATTTGTTTGTTGACTACCAGAAACATCAACCTGACGATGTGCTATCTCTAAGGCCAAACCTGGATCTGGATGTCTATTGTTAGAATCTCTGTATGTAACAGGTTCCCAAGTAGTTCAAGAGCAAATTGAAATGAAAATTAGAGGGTCCATATTGGGTTGTCGCTGATGCTATTAACCACCATTTGTGTGTCCAAGATCTGGACATGCCTGCTGGCTTCCTGATTTCATTTCCAATTTCATTTCCACACATTGACCAAAATGGTACTTGATATGGTGACCATCTTACTCACAAAGTTTCAGGATTTTGTATGTTTAAAGTTTAGAAAAGTAGATTTTGAGGTTTGGTTTCTTTAATCAGAGTTGGCTTCATAAAAAACATATTGACATTAAAATTCTGATGCCTTGTTCACCTAGCAGAATCTGGGTACCCGGTGGGATAAGTCATGTGACTATAACCTTCTAGCGCCTTACAGGCAGCTTGGATTATCCAGGTAATAATGAACTGTCTATTTGTATGCGCTTTGAGCATGCACTTGGGGTATAAAAATATATCACTATAGAAGTATTATTACAATAAACTTTAAGACCCATTTAGTAATAAACACACACACAATTTCAACTGAATCCATCAGCCCTGGAGGATTGTGGATGATACTCATAACACCTTCAACAGGCCACCGAGAGGGGGGTTCCCGTTTTGCCGGACGATTTTGTTCTAGATAAAAAATCACTGATGCGTGTTAATCCTTAAATAATAGGGGATTAACTTATAGTCTTTTTCGGCTATATGTACACACTATTACTTCATCTCAATGTTTTCATTTTAGTAATTCAACATTTTTTGTGTATTTTCTCTTCATGATAAAATTCATAAATACACATTTCGTACATCTTCAGAAGATGAGAAAATGGTAACTGAAGACATATAAATAAATGTGCATAAATATGTTTCCATAAATATACATAAAGATTTTTGTTCATAAATATACATAAATAATAATTATTCCAACACAGGGACACCAACTAGGTCTGAGACAAGATCCCCTAGAATTTGGAATGAACTGAAATTTGCAATGAGGGAACCATGTCTACTACGTTCTTTATATACAGGCACAATGGCAGAAATAATCATTTGAGTAAGTTTCACTCAATTTAGCTGATATAATTCGAGTTCACTCAAATTAGTTACTAGAAATCGAGTTCACCCAAAAAAAATTGGTGCCTTGTAATTATTGAGTTGGAACTCTGCCAAACGCTCATGTCCCCCAAATGAGACTATGGGTGACAACTACTCACTGTAAACAGACTATAGCCAGCAAACTAGCGGACCGTTACTCTTTATCCGTTATCATCACATCAGCTGTGCGGCAAAGTGGGGTATGACCCACCGAGACAACAGGCCAGGTGAACTAAATGAAGATCTAAGATAATATATTGATGACACTCTTTATTCTCAACAAATAAATACATCTTGTATCACAATACAATACTGAGTTTCAGCAGAATTAACAGAGAAGCATTCAGTCTTTTCACACCTCGTCAAGCCTTCTCAACATACCGATGTCAGGCATTTCCAACAAAGCTTGTGGTTCTCAGACCATCGTGTCTCCTAACAATTGAGTTGTGTAAAGACTGAACTGTAGCTTACTTGGACGGAGTGATTGTAAACATTTCCAACTACAGCACAACGACCTAAACATGGTCGAAGCTTGTTGTCACCCAAAAACAGCAGTAGATTTTAATAGAAAATTTGAAAACACCTGCATTAACATAAACATGAAATATGATTCTAGAAAGAACAAAATATACATAAATAAAACCTAAGTGGTGGGACATTTTATAAATGGGAGTTTGAACACTATCACCATATTGCATCACATACAGTAGATGTCACTGGGTCGGGCTTCAACCCCGTCAAGCTTTAACAGAATGTATTTTCTGATGTTCTGTTTTTCATTTTCCATGTCAAATACAAATGTTTTGAATCAAATACAGATGTTTTGAATGGAGACAATGGCCATATGGGATGTTCTATGACAACTGAGTTCAATAGCCCTCATCAACTTAATTTGAGATTCACACATTATACTGTCATGTTTGGCAAAACAATGTCAATATATATAATTTATAGTCATCTACTATAACATTATTATGATGAAACCAGTTTTCACTGTCATGATTATTAAGAAATATGCTTTCATAAATGTTTGGACGGAACACATTATTTTCTGCACTATTTCAATATAAACATAAACATTAACAGCATTGTGAACGTAAACATTTGTTACCAAGAAATATTTCAGAAACTCTTAACAACATTTCAACTTTTAGAAATGACTAGGAATAATAACCTCAATCAAAGCAGGTGTTAACCAACAGCAAGATTGGCATGAGAAATGTACAGCAGAATATAATCACCTTAATCCTATTGCACATGATTAAGAACTTCAAGCAAAAAGCCAATTTTCAGTATAATTACATGTAAATTCATGCAAATGTTATGCATCCAGCACTATCATTGATTCAAGAATATACATTTTTCATTATATAATACTTTATTTTTTCCCCATATAATAACTCATCCCTGGTTGAAAATGGAGGAATATGTATTTTTGATATAAAATACCACTTGTAAATGATGTTGAATTGTTAATTTGGTCCCATACAAAAATGCAGCATTATAATACACAAAAAACGCATATTAAAAACAAAGTGATAAATTAACATAGTGAGCTAAATATCAATAAATATGGCACGTTGCTGCTATGGGATTTTTTAAATGGACGGATTTCAACAGAACATCACAGCTCAAACAAGTTAATACTCTTTGATTACAAAATCTTGATACACTCCAGCAGTTAGCAGTTTTATTTTGTGGACAAAACTGGACAAATTCTGGTCTCAAATATTTGAAAGTTACCCTGTTGGAAATATTTGCCACAACTAAATTCAGAAAATAACACAGGTTAAGAGAAGGTTCTACAGCTGACACAAAGACAAACAACACAAATAGGTGGGGACAAAGAGATGTATCATCTGCTGCAAGTGCGTCGGAATGGTGACGAGAGGATGTAAATATCGTGTCAGTCCGCCAAGTTAGACGGATGAGGTGGCGATGTCTTCAGCATCATTCTGAAAAAAAAATATAACACATTAAAAACATTCATCAAAAGGTGAAAAACAGTCAATCAAGACCCCAAAAGGCATATCTTTAAGCCAAATATTTACAATGATTTACAAAATTGCTACACGGAATAATCTCACATCTGTGAACTGATGCTAAGTGTAGTCTTTCAAGAGCGAAAACTCTTAAAGCTGAGAAGAATCTAAAACATATCATCATATAACAATGAAAGCATGTATATCTGAACCAGCGTTTTTTAAGGAATTTCAAGTGACTAAAATAATTGTTGTTTACATGCATGAACATGAAAACATACCAACTAAAACATACCAAAACTCAAAACGTGCATAATTCACTGTTTGAAAGGTTCAAAGGGTAGTTTAAACATTAAAACGATTATAACTATTCTGGTCATCAAAGTTCAAACTAATAAATGAAAATGTTATAACTGATAATCGAAGAATGCAACACTGTTAATATAATTGCCTTGAAACACTTCAGATACCTATCTGAATTGTTCTTGTCCTAGCACCTAGAGGTAATGAAAGTACAGACATTGTATGAGAAAGGAAGCATGCAGTATCATCACAAGCATTTACCTGCACCATGCAGTCTACCATCTGAACAAAAATTGTAGACTTATCCTGACTCATGAGGTAAGCCCTCCCATTCTCCCCTCATGGCACTCTGGATTCCCTGTAATCCAGCTGTCGGGCGCATATTCAGGAGAGAGTGAGGGGCATGTCGGATCATGTGACACATTTTCCCGCCAAAAGAGTCAAAAGGGAGATAACACTGGGTGAGTGATTTTACGTCCGCTTTTTTGAAGGGAGCTTCAAAAGGGGATTCAAGTGTTCCACTATCATTCGCAAGAAGAAAGAGACAAGCAATTAAGCATGAGTCAGGATAAGGAAAAATTGCTAAATATGGAGATTCATTTAAGATGAAGATGCCATCCACTGAATCAACAACCCATCCATGCAGAATACTGATGTGAGCTACAGAGAAGAGCTGGTGTCAAGTGCACTGTCACTGTAGTGACTGAAGGTATTTCTGTCTTATCTGATACCAATGAAAAGTCTGTTACTCTGTACAAGATCCTCTCCAATTAGGGAAAGCGCATGTCATAACTATTGTACTTGACTGTCTTTCCTCACAACGAAATACAATTAACAGAGCTTTCCAACATGTTCTGCATTTAAAATACTCATTCACAAAATGAGAAAGAATGGTCAGGCCAAAGAGTTATTGGACCCTGTTCAGTTTTTACAACACCTAATGCTTCTTAGCTGCAGTACATCAAAGTACAATAACATATATCTTACACTGAAACCAGGCTTATGAGTTCTAAGGGACCGTTCATTATTTATGGCTTGGGTGGTGATGATGATATTTATGGAAAAGTATGTACAATGTGACTGAACCTCCTACAATCTATGTACAAAGTTACTGATAACCCCTGCATGTCATGTATAAAATCAATAACAACGCCCTTAGTATTTGATTAGTAATTGATGACCCCCCTGAACAAAATGAGTAAACTAAACCCACCCCTATAAATCATCAATCCCACCCCCCACCTCTCCATAAATTATGAACGGTCCCTAATCTTAATATCTTAAGACTAATTGGGGTTTTCTTTAGTTGACCTTTTTTTTCCTCTATTAATGCAGTTGCATCTTGGTAATGTTTATATAAATAAGTAGAACATCTAATCAAGTGTGTCTTGATAGGCATGACAAGAAGACACTCAGGAAGCTACAACAACATGAAAGCAGACACCTGCTCTGGGTGTGCACACACAAAGACAGACTAGCACTACAGAGTGACAACAAACTCAAATTACCTATTACACCTCTGAGGACTGTCAGGAGGAGGAAAGAAAAACAATTGTCAGAAATCAATATTGAAAATCATGAGGACAATCTAGGTGTGTCTGTAAACAATAACCATTCACCTAGAAGATGACAAACAAAACTATGCTTATACAACGCATTAAGAGCTCGTGTATATTCAAGAGGGCACATAATTTGAATTCCCTAAAATCAGATCTTGGTGTTCCTCGTCGCTACCCAAACATCACAGGACATTCGATTATGAGTCATGTCAGAATGACCTTTCGTGAACTTTGACCAACCAATGCAATGACATAACCATGAAACATTCAGAAAACTGCTTCCTGGAGTTTTTCTGCACTAATTTGAAACTGGAGACTCCAATTCCAGACAATGCTTCGAAAAAATTCTTCGATTCAAAATTTTAAAACTGAACAAAACAAATTTCTTGAATGTCTATCAGATGGTCCAGAATGTGTGGCAGTACTACACAAAGTCTTTTCCATTTCCGTTGCAGCAAGAGACCAACAATAACTTTGACCGAATTAATCAGAGCCTGTAATTGTTAAGAATGGCCAATGTTAATCTTTTAAGGCAGATGTACAGAACAAACATTCTAACTGTCACTTCCTGATAAAGTAAGCGACACTGACTGGTCTGATGAAAGTTCTTTCTGACTTGACTCATAATGGAATGTCTAAGAGACACATGAGGTAAGATCTGATTTTCCTGAGACTGGTACACCATTCATCTATAAAGCAACTAATCCATAGACTAAATCAAATTGTATGCTGCAAAAATATGCCTACACATGTATATCGATATAGCAACTAACGTTGATTACATAAGTCAAGCAGATGCATTGCTCTATTCAATATAAAGAAAGTTGGAATCCATGGACAAAAAGTCACAAGACATTTCACAAAAAGCAAAGAAGTTATCTACCACTTAACCACAACTGTTGCAGTAGTGAAAGGAAAAGACTTCTGCAGGGTGTTACTGAGAGTCAGGGATACTTACATTCTGTCCTGACCCGGGACGAGAACGAGCTCTCATTCCTCCTCTGCCGCTGCTACCGCTAGTTCCGCTGGGCGACGCCCCTCGTGCGCTCCCAGCCCCCATAGAGGTCTCAGAGTCCCATCTCTCAAGCTCCTCACGGACTAAACGTTCCATCTGCTCTCTTTTCATTTCATCACTTGTCCCATCAGACTGAAACGGAGATGATAACGTATACTGTTTGTTGGCACACCGAAGCATGAGAAGCAATAGATAGTAGATACAAAGACTGACACAGGGATAAGAGAAACTTCCAAAGATTATCAATTAATGAAATATTTCTAGTCATACAATAAACAGTTTAGTTATCTTGTATACATACTTCCTAGACAACAGACAACACTTTCCAAAAGTGTACATTTCATCAGAATATGCTTATGCAATGTCCAATTTGAACTCCAGGATTCAATTAAAAAAACAATGACGCAAAAGTTTACTGGTCAATTGAGCAATTACCTGTGAAACAGTTCCACATTTACAGAAATGACAGGTCAAGTATGTTATTGAAGAGTCAATGCTATCTGTGCTATGGCTGTGTGAAGCACTGTGAACATGGAGGACACAGTTATGGGAGGCTGTTGTGTAGTCACACTTACCTCTGTGATGCTATCTAAAATTTTCCCCATTGTTTCCCTCCTCTTTAACTTGGCTTTCTCCATGGCCTCTAGTTTAACCAGGACAGCATCAATCTTTGATACAATGCTCCCAATAGAGTGCTCCATTCTGTCCACCCTCCGAGACAGGACTGTAAACTCTTCATATGAAACCCCGCTTGATGTTCTTCCTGTTCGGGAGGATTTTGTTCCACTGTCCTCATCGTCGCTGTCTTCTCCACTGTCTTCATTGAAGCTGTTTCTGCTGCTGGAGCGGCGTGCAGTGCCTGGGCGATGGACCTTTCTTCCAGTTCATCATATTCTTTGTTGAGAGCATTCTAGAAAGCATGTCACATGTGTCAAAATACATTTTGTATTATACATTACTAGCAAGTCTAAACTTGAAAAATAGTACAATCTAACAACTTATGACACATTGTGGATCTAATTGTGTGTGTTTTTGTGTAATGCCTCAACCAGCAACATTCCAGATACAGAATGGCAGTTTGTAAAAAACTGAATCTGGACCAGACACTCCAGTGATTGATATTATGAGCAAGCAGGCCAGGGTCCATTGCCATACCATCAACCAAGGCTGACGACACAATCAACTTAGTCGTCACCTAAGACTTCCTTCCATTAGGGTCCATTGCTAACCTCAAATCTGAAACTATAGATAAAGTAATCACTCAAGAGCACCTTTTGATCTGTGAGGTCTTGATGCATGCGACGTTGTTCATCTTCATCAAGCACACGGTCACCGTCAATGTCGTATTTGGCAAACATAGCCTCGATTTCACCATCAGCATAACCACGTCTGGAAGCAGATATAGAAAAGATCTCAGAATAAACCATGGGACAAGAGTGACATCTGATAAAGCTGCTGCATCAAATGTAGACCAGAGCAAATAATTTGTTTCGTATATAAAGCAGAACTACATGTGTAATTTCTTTCCCATTTGAATTTTGCAGTTTAGCACTTCATAATATATGGTTAGCAACACTCACGTCTTCAGGTCCTGTCTCCATTCATCGAAGTCAAGTCGCTTGTCGTCATTGATGTCGGCCGACTGCAGAGCTTTCTGGATGTCCACGATCTTATCTCTCTTCCAGTTCAGTTTGTCCATCATCTTCTGTGCCCCCTGAAAACACAGTCAATGATGGAATTAAGTCAACTAAAATTGATCAAATTATTGAACAAATATCTACTTTATTCTGATATGACCCATGATACATGAATCTGACCATTACACTAAAGTCAATACTGTCATATCATACTTCATTCATCTCTTTTTAAGTGATCAAATTTCTATGGTGCTATAATTTCTAACTTGCAAATACCTCCCAGAAGACTTACCTTCTTGAAGAAGTCAGTCATCTCGAACTCATTCTTCTGGTTGGCCATGTCACCCTTAACCTCCGAGTAGGTGTCGTTGATGATAGCCAAGAACATGTTGATGAGCACGAAGAAGACGAAGAACACAAACAGCATGAAGAAGATGGGTCCCAGCACTCGGTTGGCAGCCTCCAGCTGGTGGAAGTCGAAGTCGCCCAGGATGATACGGAACAGAGTGAAGCTGAAACATACAGAGTGTTGATTTGAAACATTAAGAACCCAAGATGAGTTTATTTTTACGTAGCTTTCAGCAATATTCCAGCAATGTCACGGCAGGGGACACCAGTAAAAGGCTTCACACATTGTACCCATGTGGAGATTCAAACCCGGGTCATCAGCATGACAAGCGAACACGGTACCACTTGGCTACCCAAGCATCTTTGATGCGGGATGAAGACAATTACCCACTCTGGTATAAAGTGAACAAACAGAATCAGGGCAAATGTACTAGTCGAACCCATGACTTGGTCATCCAGGAACAGTCCAAGAATAAACGTTGTGAAACCAACCTAGATGATTCAGATTACTAGGGCTGCCTATGATAGATATGTGGAAATGTTTATTGTTAAATACAGTTGACTCCACTAAGTTGAGGGGACATGTTGATAAGAAAAATCAGAGCATGTATATGAGGTATAACCTATGAAATAATTTGTAAACAATATGCAATAGATAATGAAAAAAAAAGTCACAAAAGCTAAAGCTTAGTTCAAAGCATTAATTAAAAGGATCAGCTTTGGACTTACAAGGAGTCCTGGAAACTGCTGAAGTCCTTGACCTGGGTTCCAAAGAGCAGATAACCCAGCTGTGTGAAGGCCAGGAAGATGATGAAGAACATGACAGCGAAGCCAGCCAGGTCCTTAGCACAGCGCCCCAGGGTAGAAGACAGCTGGGTCATGGTCTTGTTGAAGCTGATGTACTTGAAGATCTGAACACACAATGTGCTTGTGACAATCACAAATGTTTTGTAGGGAAAATCACACATGTTAGTTAACCTTTCATTAAAGATGAGATTTCATACTTGAGATACCATTATTCATCGATTTAGTGCAGCAACCTTTTTCAAAAGCACTTATTACAAACACCTGTAATATTAAGTAACAGTATCAAAGCATTACTGCTTCTGATAGGCATAACTATCACCATAGCCCCGACTTTACTGAAGTAAGAGCCCGAAGGTAACTAAAATAAGAGCCCGAAGGTAACTAAAATAAGAGCCTGAAGTTTACTGAAGCAAGAGACCAATTTCTGAAAATTCAGGAGCATAAACTTATAAAAAGAGCATAAATAAAAAACAAGGGCCTAAATTTAACTAAAATAAGGGCTTAACTAAACCCAATCTTTGCTGAATAAAGAGCCAAACTAAGGACACAACAAACGCAAGAGGTCAAAAAATTTGCAGAGCTCATGCCTCTCTGACATCAGCCTTACCTTGATCCAAGCCAAGAAGACTGCTATAGCTATGGCATTGCTGAAGCGAGTTTCCCAGTAGCTCAGCCTCTCAAAGTCCGCGTACACTTTGTCGTTCTGCAGCAGCGACGTCAACTTGTCCCCGACCGCCACTGTCCGGTATATGTCAAACGCCACACAGATGAGGGAAATCAGGATCACCAAGATGTCAAGGATGTTCCAGACGCTCTTGAAGTAGGTCAGTTTGTGTTTCTTGATCTGACACAAAAGAAAAGAATTCAATAGAATAGTGTGGGGCAGTGTCAACATAGTGTTACATTCAGCACACAACATGCTGAAGTTACCAATACCAACAAAACCAAAGAAAGAAATAGAGCAAGGTTCTAAGATGCTTTTAGCAATATTTCAGCAATATCACATGGTAGTTGGGTAGACACCAGTATTTCGCTTCGAAATCACTTAAATCTTCAAGTAGAATCAAGGGTATTGTACAACAGCAACAATTGTCTGAGGTTTCCCCAGACTCACCTCCAGGACTTCTTCCACGATGTAGTACAGGATGAAGAGACAGAAGATACACTCGCAGGCCATGATGAAGTAGTCACCCACAGTCACGTAACGGATCAGTTTCACAGTCCGGAAAGTCCAGGATGGGATAGCGCCTCCAGTGGCAGGGAACTCAACCAGAAGTCTAAGGGAGACAACTCACATTTTACTTCATATACTAAGAACTGACACATATCTCGAAGTATGCTACAATCTAATTCTAATACATTTGTAACCTCTCTTTTTAAACCCTTGGGCATAAATATAAGTTAATCTGTAGGTAACCATAGTTACAAAACAAATATTCATCATGTTCACATCAACATGATCATTACAGGTAAAGGAAAATATCTTTGATTACATACCTGACAACACAGAAGAGATTGATGTTCGCATTGTAGACCGTAAAGTCTATAAACAATGCTCTTGTCCCACGTGTTATCCATAACGAATTAAACAAGTCCTCTATTATTTGCGCCGAGTCGTTCATGCTGGCCCGGAGATCCTGAACATACCCTGCTCCGGAGTATGTGGTCAGCAGACCCCAATGGGACGAACCTTTTAGTTCCGATTCCGTTTTATACTTCCACCTAAAACAAGAACACAAACAAAGATGAAACATAAAATCAGGCCAATATCGATACAGAATACTAAATAACGATTGTGGCACCATGCTACAGAGGGAAGACTGCTGTCTGAGATCTGAAGATGTGACAGGTTCTTCAATGGTCCAACATGAATGTCTAACATGGATGTTACATGTGACTGAGCATTTAACATGCTTTAAACAATTAGAACTCACTGAGTTTGGTTTTATGCCGCTTTCAGCAATATTCCAGCAACATCACGACGGGGGACACCAGAAATTGGCTTCACACAATGTACCCATGTAGGGATTCGAACCTGGGTCTTCGGTGTGACGAGACAACGCTTTAACCACTAGACTACCCAATTAGTGAGTGAGTGAGTGAAGTTTTGGTTTTACGCCGCTTTTAGCACCAAACAATTAGTAAATGTGGTATACGGTCTAATATCATGTGGTAGTTCGTCATCAATGATTCACTTGAATACACAGTCCTTGCATAACTTTTGCGTTCACATGACAGTTTTGTAGAAATGTCACTATTTTCAAAGAACTTTTGAAGCTACCTTGTCTCCATATAAGATTACAAAACTGACAATTGCAACACATTTTCCCTGTAACAAGTGTTCTAGCCTCGCAGGCATCTGCTTCACCCACTCCTTCAGTATCAGGGATGGTAGGGGTGGCACAAAGCACAGTCATGTCGCAATAATAAACAACCACACACAATAGTTCGCAGATTGAAGACAGACACTTCTAATCCACACTGGTGCTTTATGAATTCATGTGATAAGGAAAGCCATGTATACCATGTATATAAAGCCCAGGAGTTCTGGCAGTGGTGGCAGAATGACCATGTGTATTACATCACAGAAACACACAATATTAAGCATTACTATATACACAAGTGTTTGCCACTGATATGGCAATGTCCCCCGCCGCTAAAGAATGGAATATCTATATTGATTACTTTTTATTTTTGGTCATATACAAGATGCCTGAAATGACTGGTGCCTGCCTAATCACCCAGTGTAGGCTGTCGACATAATTGAAAACATTGGGTGCAATGTTTTATGAGATATCGCGTTTAAATAAGTTTGAAAAGTGGTCAAAGTGTCGTGGTGACCTTGAAGATAAGGTCAAGGTCACCCAAATAGACTGGTGTATGGGTAATCCCCCAGTGTAGGCTGTCACCAAATTTGAAGACATTGGGTATAACAGTTCATGAGATATCCCGTTAACAAGAATCGGGTCGTATGCCGCTGAATACATAGTCCCCTCTTCCTCGTTGCGGCGGGAGACAATAAATCTAGCTATAGCACAGAAAATGGACAATGCCAATGACCCAAGTTAACATGGTTTGACACATTAGTGCATATGGAAGTTCTAATGCCAAGAGATGTTGGATCAATAGTACAAGTAGCCTGACCTTCTGAATCATTAATAAAATGTCTCATCATCGGCAGCAAAATCTATGCTGAACAGAAGAGTTTTTTCGAACCATTTTTAAAATTAATTTTTCATTGTTTTTGCTTTTGAAAAGCTATCAACTACATTCCAAGACGGTCATATCCACGATATTGGTTGAACATATTTTGGATGGACTGATGTATTGGAGGATTGAAAGTACCCTTTCAGTGTCACAAACAAAATACTCAAACACAATCCCAATTAAGTGTATTAAGTGTATTTCCAGATCTACATCTGCCTGAAATGATTAGTTCAAATACTTACGCAGTGAGGTTGGCAATTTCACTGTTGGGATCATAGTTGCCAAAGGGGTTGGTGTCCTCAATGCTGGTGGAGTAGGAGTCGTAGCATTCCTTGATAACGTCAGTGAAGTCATCGTGGACGATGCAGGAGTTGCTGTGGACCTTCAGGTGTCGGAGTCGGGGCATGCCTAGTAGCTTATTTTCGTAGTATATATAACCCAGCTGTTCTTCTCGGCACGGCATCCTTGTTGTACCAGGTTTCCCAGTAGAGTCCACGGAGCAGGGGGCCCTTGGCGAACTGGAAATTAAAAAGACTATGCTATAACAAAAACAGTTACGAACCACAATGAACGAAATAAATCTAAGTGATTAGAATAGACATGAAGTATGTTTAACTCCAAGATCCATCCTTGAAACATTACATCACAGCAATAACATGAATTCTGTCGGCACCATAAAGTTGCATCCACTATTAAAACTATTGCAATAACAATCATGTAAGCATAAGAAAAGCCACTACAGTACATGTCAATAAACACAAATAGTATTGAAAGTTTTTGAATATAAATTCTGAACATCACTAAAATCCTTTGCAAGTTTCAGTGATTCTAAAAATCACCAAATGGATGATACTTTCCACTGCTATAGCTTGTAACATCTTGCCCTGTCTGTACAATAAGGGCTACAAGGTATGGTTTAAATAATATAACGCCCTTTAAAAACCACATGTTGCAAGAATTTTTGTGTGTTCAAGTATATTTGGTTTTCTAAACGTAACATTATTAACAAGTTTCCTTCACAATTTACCTAAAATCTAGGAAAATTCAATCACAACAATATTTTTCTTGAAATTATTCCTTACAACTTCTAAAATGCCTCTCAAAGAAGTTTCCTTGAAATTGATTGACCAAATGGTGGAAAAGCAGACTTGATTTTTCTCTCAAGTTGTTATCTCCCCTGAATCAAAGACTACAAAATGGTGGCAGCTGGCCATGCTGTTTATTATTTACATAAGGATGACCATAAAGAATTTTCTGGATACATCTTCTTTTATTCCACAAGGAATAAGGACATAACATAAGGATGTTGAAAATGGGTCTGTATATACAGTCTGTGTCAATTACAATCATGCACCTGTATCACAATATACAGCAAATTGTTTGACAATAGACAGCCTTGTCTTACTGTACTACAAAGATTACCAGTGCAAAATACTAACAAAATATTATCAGGATCCAACACCCCTATCACAGACTTCTTACCTTCCAGAAGTCATCAACACTGGTGATTCCTCGGAAGGTTCCACCATACTTGCTAGGGGTGTCCAGGAACAGATCGCTCATCACCTTGGTGTAGTAGTACATGGTGGTGCTTGTCATGCCAAAAGTAACTGGAAAAACAACAAATTTCTGTTACCATGGTCACAGTTTGTATCACACCACAAAATAGGTAATACAAATCCCTTGAACTCGACTACACCAAACCAATAACCATCATGATCTACAAACTTCATTAAAACCAGCAGTGTGAGAAATAGTTTCCAAATATTGCGAGCCAGTCAGGCTAGCTATGCCTGAAAGTTACCAGTACTAGCCCACAAAACAATTCACTAGCCCAAAATTCGCATTCGGGAAACTAAGCGAAACATTAAAAAAATAGATGAGAATATGATATTGTCGGCATTACAGGTATCATCATTAAGCTGCTAATACGATGAACATTTATATCAGGCCACATTCTTGCATGATTTAAAAGTGTATTATAACAAGTCAGAGAAAGTGATCTATTTACAAAATGACACCATGAAAAGTCACTAACCAGCTGAGCCAGTGACTTCAGATGTGCTGGCCTTGCTGGATTTTTGCTAGCCACAGTCTATCAGGCCAGTGGCTATATAGCACACTGAACAATTGAATAATAACCATGATAAAATGTCAAAAGATAGTTACACAAACATAAACATCTCACTCATTTCATCCCTGATCAGTTACTTTGAAACCTTGTCAATCAGGCATCTTATGTTTTTAGTTCACAAAATCCTACTTGAAAATAGGCATGATAATTAGTCCCACATCTATGGACCAGATGACAGCTCCCATGTGTGTGATAGCTGCTACTTACTGACACAGATGATCACAAGGAACACGATGTAGATGATCAGCTCTCTCAGGGTTGTCTTCACATACAGCTCCCTGTTGGACTTGGTCTCCTCCGTGCTTGAAGAAAGTGTCGGGTTGCCCATAGTGCTGGAAGAAAGCAACAAAAGTCTAACCAACGGCATCTAAGTGCTACAAATACAACATACCCATCATATAACAAGATCAGTAGTGCTATGTAAATAATACACTTATAGTTACAAGATATGATTTGTGCCATACTGTAATGTGAGATTTGATGAAAATAAAATAAAACTGCTCAAAATAAGTAATTTTCTTTATACATTTCTCATGCCATATAAATGATATAAGAAGACAATTTGTCAAAGAGATATGCAGCAACATGGAGTGAAGCAGGGCTCCAGATAATGTTTTGAGCCATTAAGTATTTATTCCAATGCTATCATTCACTTTTGATGTTATTATCTTTGAGTATTCAGCATATTGTCACTTCCTTGGATTTAAAGTCAAGTTAATCGGGTACTTTCAAACCAATGTATGAGTGAACATTTCTCTAACCATATTCTACTTAAAATGCCGTTCAAGTTGGCTTCTAACTTGCATCTGTCCATTTGATGCCCAACTCTGACGTATATTTCATAAGCTTACTACAAAAAATGTACAATCCTGTATGTATAAGATATCATATCTGGGCTCCAGATAATTTTTCAACATCATGAGTATGTACTCCTTATTTTTTCAGTACAGGAGTACTGGAAAACCTTAAGAGTACATTTAGAGTACAGAATGGAATTTAATGGAGTATCAGTAATCTTGTGTTTCGTTTCATATATGCACCACAACATTGCTACTCTTGTGTAAACAGGTCAATAAACAATAAAACAATTTTTCAGATGAATACATCTGTAAATGATTCTAAGACCGTACATTACTGCTGTGGTGTGTATCTGCTACATTTTCTAAATTATTTCCTACCATATCGTGCATATTTTTATCCATACATACGCCGATACGGCCCTTATCTGGAGCCCTGTTATAGTCATGCAACACAACAGTGGAGTCCATGCATACAGTGGTATATGTGATTCCTGCATTTGATCAGTACACAAACAGGAATGTAAGCTGCAGGGCTGCATTGGTTTATTAATCACTACCAGTTTAATGTGTATTATGTTTTCCAACTGCATTTGTAATTGTATGCAAGTTATTTTTTTGAGAATGGTGATTTCTTGTACATATTTACACATATATGATGATAATCTGGAGCTCACACGAGTCTTGTTTTACATCATGAGGCAGTTTTACCTGAATCCAATAACTGACATATCATATTGATCATAACCATATTCACAAACTGTACCCAGTTAACATTGTCAAAGAGTGAGTGAGTGAGTTTGGTTTTACGCCGCTTTTAGCAATATTCCTGCAATATCACGGCGGGGACACCAGAAATGGGCTTCACACATTGTACCCATGTGGGGATTTGAACCCGGGTCTTCGGCGTGACGAGCAGACGCTTTACCCACTAATCTACCCCACCGCCCCATTGTCAAAGAACTTAGAATGAAATTTATCCATACTGTTTTACAGAATCATAGTGCTTCAGCTGTGCAGTAGGTCTATGACAGTATATTCATCTGTTTCAGAATAAAAGTGTGACAAATAGACAATGATAGAAGAATCCCTGTGAGCTGTTTAATCAACTTCTAAGTAACAGGTTCATCCTTTAAAACAATCTATGTAAAAAGCATAAGTGCACCATAAGTGCCTATAAATCAATGCCATTTACTATCAGTCTGATTGTTTAAAAAGACTGACTGAGTTTAGTTTTACGCCGCTTTTAGCATTATTCCAACAATATCACGGAGGGGGACACCAGAAATGGGCTTAACACATTGTGCCCATGTGGGGAATCGAACCCGGGTCTTCGGCGTGACGAGCCAACGCTTTAACCACTAGGCTACCCCATCGCCCTTGTTTAAAAAGAACACTTACACTTACTACATAAGTTCATGACAGTAAGCAATATATTAATACATTTGTGTGCATTACCTGATAAAGTATATGAAGATAAAAGTTGCTAAATTATTTTATTAATTTATTACCATGGACTAACAAAAACAGAAATTTTCATCACAAGCATTTGCAGTTATTTTTACCAGCTTGTACCCCAAACACGTCTCTGTTATGTCTTTTCATTATAGATTAGCAATCAATCCCATCACAAGTTGTCATGGCACCTAAATTGATTTTGCTATGACATCGTCTTCTGACACAGTGACAGCCATTACAATGTACCTAAGCTTCTTTCAAAGCAAGTATAGCACTCAATCAACAAATCTACATGAGAACCAATATTGCCAATCAATAACAACCATTGCAGCCAGAAGTTAACAAAAGCTGTTTATGCTCTGGGAAGAGTTTTCGCGTAGAAATCAATATTGTGTCCATGGTACCATCTAAACACTGGGATTGGGTTACATTATGAACTTGTAGAACCGGTTGCAGGCATCAAATATTCATTCCCTTGGCATAGCAGTCAGAGATGAACATGATGAATGTATCCGAAAGACACCATTAGCCAGAAATATTAAAAAGACCAACTTTATCCTTTTTAAACAGATATCATGCAATGTTAAAGTCACTTACCATGTTTACAGTTCAATAAAGACACAATTATTTACTGACAATCATCAGATACTTTGTTACAAATATATAATAGCAATAATGGCACATAGGGCCTTTTGCAATTTGTTTGCTGTATGAAACTTAGTTTTGGTGTTAAAGGGCAATGACATTTCCAAATTTGACAGCATCAAAATTCACACATTTGCTGTCAAAATGTCGTAGCACAATGCACGATTTCAGATGGCAAAATATCAGATGCGGTGATCAGCATGACTAGACTCACTGTCACCATGCCAGTGATGAAAATGAAGTATATTTTAACAAAAGATAGGGGTTCAAGGTGGGTTTCAGATCGTTTCATTTTCTTAATTGTTGTCTGATTGTTATGCAAAAGACAACAAAATGCATATATAATTCTAAAGTTTGGTAAAGTACCGGATGCAGCTAACTGTTGTGGTAATTGGTCAAGACTGTCGTCTCCAGAATTACCTGTCAGATTTATGAAATGTTAAATTCCTTTATAATGAAGTCCGAGTAAAATGTTTTGAACAACAGAATTACTTACATCTAAGACCACGGACGAAGGTGCCCATGCATCCAGTATTCTGGTTTTGGTTCTTGGTCCTCACGGCGGGCACGTTTCCTCGGCGGTCCTGGTCCATGTACACCTGATCGGGGAGGTCGGGGTCATCCCGAATGTCTGGGGCATACCCTTCCATTCCCTCATCAACCCAAGCCGTGCGGGACTGGCTACTCGAAGGCCGATTCCTTGACATCGCACTGTCACGAATTTACAAGCACGTAAAGTTTCACAAAGGTGAAGTGATTCTATATGGACGGAGTTTGACAAGGGGGGACGCGATGTCCCAAACTTAGCGAGTACCACTAAAGAAGCTTGTGGTCGCCGCGCCTGCAAGGTGAAGACTGAGAAGATGCGCAAATATCAGCTACCGATGCTGTTTGACAGATCGATAAAAGTTTGTAGGCTCACAACTTTCTCAGCAACATGGCGGAAATTAGATGACGTCATACGACAACAACGTGTTGATTGGACAAGAGCCACACAGCCCGTCCTGAAACGTTCGATTGATTTTATTTTAGATCCAGCTAAACCCCCATCTACCGACTACACTCGGGTACCAATAGGTTCAGAAACACACACGATGTTATAAAATAAGAACAATGAACGTTTATGTCGATATAGCCTGCAATATAATGAAGAACTTAATGCGTATTGGGAAGGTTATGAACCGGTTTGGGAATATGTACAGTGTCATAACTGAATGTTCAGTTCCATTCAAACCGGTTTGAGAATCTTTTTTTATCGCAAAACAAACCAACACATCTTCTATATACAAATATGAGAAAACAAACTCTGAAGGTGAAATAAAAAAATATACGTTTTACTTTAAAATGGTCTCTGATATGTTATAGAGCGTAGTTTTATTATTTCGCTTTCATGTTCAACAGTTACATGCGCATTTGGTTTGGATATTAGGCCTATAGCCTACTAACGCTTACACAGGTTTAGAAGGGTACTTAGGGTAGCGTCTTATACCTGGCTTGGGGAACACGAATTCGGTTTATATTCTCGAGGTTTTCATCATATACTATCATCACTATCTGATCGACGGGTACTGCCCTAAACCGAGCACAAAAATATGAAGTGTATGTACCAATAAAATACACTTTCAGGGCGGATACAGCTTTTTTGAGAAAGGGGGGTAGCACACTCTTGAGAAAGTGGGGGCGCACACTTCCTTTTCACGAGAGTTTCAATGGTCATTTAATAAACTGTTTATCGATCTGTTGTTGACTTTGGTGATTAAACAATTTGATGAAAAATGGAAGGATTCGAATTCATACGCGAAGTGCGCACCGACTGCTCACGAATGAAACCTGCCATGCGGAGACACTGATTAAATACGTGCTATTTCCAAGACTAGTTAATAGTTGATCTGTTTTTCAACGTACGCATGTGTTCTGCGGATCAAGATTTCAAAACCTAATCTCATGTATATGTGGTACATTTTCGCTACAAGACACGAATAGATAGAAAGGAATGATCTTTTAACAATCTGAAGTAAGATTATTTTTTTCAAGCATTTTTTATCGATAAAATTCCCATTTTACACCTTCCACTATATCCACACCCATGCGATTCGCAGGACTGACTGATATTATTTTCCCTCCATTATCGTTGCAGTAGGAACTCCTATGCCTGCAGTGATGATGCTCACCATTGATATCAATCACTGGTTTGTTTGGTCGAGGTTCGCCGTCAAATGGCTTGAATACTGCTGAATGGTGGGTTAAACAACAAACAGACGTTTAGTTTTAGAGCTAAAAAAACACAACATGAGATATGAATTAATACAAGTGGTCTTAATGAATTCAAATCATCGTTTAAGATACACTATTTTTCTATTGCGTAGATCGATGCTCATGCTGTTGATCACTGGATTGTCTTGTCCAGACTCGATTATTTTTACAGACCGCCGCCATATATAGCTGGAATATTGCTGAGTGCGGTGTAAAATTAAACTCACTCACTAATATTTTAGTTAATCATGTTTCTTGGAATTTAACAATACACTAATATAGCTATGTAACAATCAAAAACGAAATAAGAACTTTGATCGACATCATGACTCAAGAACAAACAAGCTAAATTATTATTTACGCTGTGATGCCCAAAATACTTTTGATACATAAGCGGACCGTTATCGTCACATGGTCCCTGGGATGGACGGAGGAGTTAGGGAATGGATCCGTAGCTGCTGTCGGTTGCGTCAGCGTGGTCAAATCTCTCGGCCGGACGATATAAGCGGATCGCCATAATGCCTTCTACAAGAACGACGTCAATTGCCCCGTACTACCTCCAGGAATACTGAGACCCCAGATTGTTTCTGACTGTGATCCGACACGGAATGTTTAGCTGTTTGTCGACGTTCGATTTCCTATTTGTCATATGATAAGAAGACAGAAAATGCCAAAACCAATGCATATCGTCTATACAAGGCAATGAGGATGTTGACAGCGCTCTACAAAGACTGAAACTGAAAGTTTCGCAAAACAAGTGCAATTTGTAACCATTCGCATCCTCTAATGAATACATCGAAATTTATAAAGAGTAGAGTACAAAAGCCCCCTCTTGCTATAAGTGTCCGAACAACGAAGAGAAAGCCCTATGTCAAACCCTACTTGAAAAAGCCTGAAGTTATCACATGACGAAAAGATCGGGGAAAGACGATAATGGTAAGAGAATGGCAGGCCTCTTGCTAAACCCCGGCTAATATTATATGGTCTCTGATAGAAGTGATGCGTAGCTTTACAAGTACACGCGCTCATAGACAGCAGACAGAGCGAACTCTATGAGGCAGCAGACACAGATATCCATGAATATTGTAAAACGGCAAAGCGACTAAAAAAGATACGGGCCAAGTTCGCTAATTTTATAAATTTTACAAAAGTAGTGAAACCGAAGGTATTTATGGCACCTTCGGCAAATATTGTAAATCACATTTCCCGACTGTTCTTTTGCTAACGGCGAAATATGTTCAGTCACAGATACTGAAAATAATGAAACATCAGCCCCTGAAAACGAAGTAACTGTAAGTGCCTATTGAAGAGGCCACTCAGCTACACAAAGTAAAGTAAAATGGATAAAAAAACCAACCCATCTATAAGACCCGATGGGCTCACAGATGAACATGTTAAGTATTGAACAACTTTATTAAAGTATATTATGTTATCAGTCAATGCTGTATTTTGACAGTCAAAAACATTCGCAAACCCCTTTGCGACCGATGGAGAGGAATTGCGACCAAAGAGACCATGTTTGAGACCATGGAGACCGCGTCGAGACTAATTTGCGACCGTATTGCGAGTCTTAGCGAGTGATGCAGAGTGAACCGAGACAATTTTAGGTCGTAATTCGGTCACCTGCCCGGTGTAACCGGGGTGTTACATCTCTGTGTACGTCTGTGTTACCCTTGTTGGTTTCAAGTCTTATCTGTTCTCTGCCAAACATGGTGTAGGTCAGGGTCATGTCATATCAGCATGGCTTTTCACTCCGTGTTTCAACGATTTGCTTCATGAACTAACTCCGGTTCATGAACTATGCCAGGAACACTGTTAGCAGATGGCATGACCATGCTTAGCTGTCATCCAACGAACATACAAAATGCACCCAAACGTTGCAGAAACATCTGTCGACCTACCTATCTACCTCCACCTGCCTATCTGTATTTCCGTCGACCTCATACCTGCCCGTCAAATAGTCTGACTGTCTACCTTTCTACCGACCTACTTGTCTACCTCCACCTGTCCGTCAATTAGTCTGACTGTCTACCTTTCTACAGACCTACCTGTCTACCTCCACCTGCCCGTCAAATAGTCTGACTGTCTACCTTTCTACCGACCTACCTGTCTACCTCCATCTGTCCGTCCATCCATCTGACTGTCTACCTTTCTACCGACCTACCTGTCTACCTCCACCTGTCCGTCAAATAGTCTGACTGTCTACCTTTCTACCGACCTACCTGTCTACCTCCACCTGTCCGTCAATTAGTCTGACTGTCTACCTTTCTACCGACCTACCTGTCTACCTCCATCTGTCCGTCCATCCATCTGACTGTCTACCTTTCTACCGACCTACCTGTCTACCTCCACCTGTCCGTCAAATAGTCTGACTGTCTACCTTTCTACCGACCTACCTGTCTACCTCCACCTGTCCGTCAAATAGTCTGACTGTCTACCTTTCTACCGACCTACCTGTCTACCTCCACCTGTCCGTCAAATAGTCTGACTGTCTACCTTTCTACCGACCTACCTGTCTACCTCCACCTGCCCGTCAAATAGTCTGACTGTCTACCTTTCTATCGACCTACCTGTCTACCTCCACCTGTCCGTCAAATAGTCTGACTGTCTACCTTTCTACCGACCTACCTGTCTACCTCCACCTGTCCGTCAAATAGTCTGACTGTCTACCTTTCTACCGACCTACCTGTCTACCTCCACCTGTCCGTCATCCAGTCTGACTGTCTACCTTTCTACCGACCTACCTGTCTACCTCCACCTGTCCGTCAAATAGTCTGACTGTCTACCTTTCTACCGACCTACCTGTCTACCTCCACCTGCCCGTCAAATAGTCTGACTGTCTACCTTTCTACCGACCTACCTGTCTACCTCCACCTGTCCGTCCATCCATCTGACTGTCTACCTTTCTACCGACCTACCTGTCTTACCTCCACCTGCCGGTCAAATAGTTCTGACTGTCTCACCTTTCTACCGACCTACCTGTCTACCTCCACCTGCCCGTCAAATAGTCTGACTGTCTACCTTTCTACCGACCTACCTGTCTACCTCCACCTGTCCGTCCATCCAGTCTGACTGTCTACCTTTCTACCGACCTACCTGTCTACCTACCCACCTGTCCGTCACATCCAGTCCGTGACTGTCTGACCTTACCTTTCTACCGACCTACCTGTCTACCTCCACCTGTCCGTCCATCCATCTGACTGTCTACCTTTCTACCGACCTACCTGTCTACCTCCATCTGTCCGTCCTCCATCTGTCCTGTCTACCTTTCTACCGTCTACCTGTCTACCTCCACCTGTCCGTGACTGTCTACCTTTCTACCTCGTCTACTCCACCTCTGACTGTCTACCTACCGACCTACCTGTCTACCTCCACCTGTCCGTCCATCCATCTGACTGTCTACCTTTCTACCGACCTACCTGTCTACCTCCACCTGTCCGTCCATCCATCTGACTGTCTACCTTTCTACCGACCTACCTGTCTACCTCCACCTGTCCGTCCATCCATCTGACTGTCTACCTTTCTACCGACCTACCTGTCTACCTCCACCTGTCCGTCAAATAGTCTGACTGTCTACCTTTCTACCGACCTACCTGTCTACCTCCACCTGTCCGTCAAATAGTCTGACTGTCTCTACCGACCTACCTTCTACCCCACCTGTCCGTCAATTAGTCT